TCTCTCTCTCTCTCTCTCTCTCTCTCTCTCTCTCTCTCTCTCACTCTCTCCCCCTCTCATGCACACAGACATCTTCTATCATGAAGGAAGTAAATAAATAAACAGACGGACAGACAGACTCTGGTCTAACCTCCAGAGATTTGGGTTCTCTGAGTATGAGCTGGGCCAAGGAATCTACAGTTTAACAAGATCCCAGGTGATTCTGCTACAGAAAGCCCTGTCTGCACATAAGTTTGGGAAGCAATTGATGGGAAGAAGTTAATGGTGTGACCTTTAAAAAACCTTCTAGCCCTGAAATACTATAACCCTGAAATGTAGATGAATAGCTTCCATCAGATTACTCCAAACCACTAGAACTGAGAATGACAGCCCAGGAAAATTCCATTCAAGGGGAAGGGTATTCCTAGGGTCAAACCGATAGTGTTCAGTGATCACTGTCATATGAAACCCAACGGTTCGGACATTCCCTTAGAGGAAAAACAAATTCTTTCCCCAAGAGTGAGTCTTCTCGTATACACTAAGATTTCTAAAAAGAAGGAAATCTTGGATGAGTTTGAGTAAAATGCTTGAGCTACTTTTTCAAGAGGGACAGAATGGAATGGGACCTAACAGACACAGGATATCAACTTCTTCACACAGTCAGAAAACTTTGGTTCAAGTCTTGGCATCACCACTTGGCAGCTAAATGAGTCCAGGTGAATTGTCAAAACTCTGTGTTCTGTTTGTAAAGCAGGGACAAGCCTGCCCTGCCTACCTCAGTACTTCATGAGAATCAAGAAGAAAGTAGACCTGGAAAAAATCACAAATCGATACAATCTTTATGTGAGAATTATAACCTATGATCCAAGTCCTAGCCACCCTCAAGGAGAACTCAGGGTTAATATTCAAACTTTCCTGTCTCATTCTCCAGAACCTACAATCTTTATGTGAGAATTATAACCTATTTTCCAAGTCCTATCCACTCTCAAGGAGAACTCAGGGTTAATATTCAAACTTTCCTGTCTCATTCTCCAGAACCTCTCTGACCTGAACTCCTATTGCATGTATCACTTGCCCATGGTTTTACAGGCTTCTCTGTAGTCTATGCTGGCCCTCTTGTCAGTTTATGTGGAAGCCTAGTGCTAAAAATTCTGGATTCTGCCACTCTCTGTGTGACCTTGAGAATGTCCTTCCTTCCTCCAAACCTCTGTCCTATATATAGAAATTATAGCCATTAAGATGACCATCAGGTCAGCCTTGTAGCCTAGAGCTTAAGGGAACCAGTTCCCACATGGCTGACTGCAATGTGAATGTTGGTCCTCGCAGCTTGAGAAACAGACTAGGCAAACATGTGTCTGTTCCCAAAACCTTGATAGGATGGAGAAATGGAGGAGAAGGGATTGCAATGTGACAATACCCCATTAAGAAGTTCAGGACCAGCAGTTGGTGTAATGGCTGTGTTGCTATACTCCCATGTAGTTGACTGCTGTTCAAGTCCCGGACCCAGTAGTTTAAACTCGTGCCAGGCGCATGTGCAAACATGCTTAAGATCCTGAGAAGAGAATAGAGGAGAAGGGATTGTGGCATGGCCATCCCCCTGGGGGATGATTTCTCACTTTCCTGCTCATTCTCTCCCTCTCTCTGTCTTTCTGGCGAGTGCAAGCACCCTGTAGCAAAAACCTCTCAAAAAAGAAAAAAGAAAGAAAAATGAAGAGAAGTTCTCTCTCTCTCTCTCTCTCTCTCTCTCTCTCTCTCTCTCTCTTTCTCATCCCCCGGGGGGGGGGGGGGAAGAGATACAAAATTCCTTTGGAATTAGACAAATCTGAACACAAATACTGGCTTAACCATTTACTATCAGTGAGGCCATGGATAAATACCTTAACTTCTCTCAGCCTCTATTTCCTCATTTCCTCAGCTGTAAATGTAAATAAACATACCTTCTCATGGAGTTAAGAAGATGGAATGAGATGATATTAGCAATATCTTCAGCACAGCAACAAAACCCATGATGTTTAGTAAATGTTAACTACTGTAATTATTAACAAAAAAGAAGAGATTGAGCTTCAATAGTCAGAGTTTCCCTAGCAATGAGTTGTCAAAACAATGAATACTCCTCCATTTCTTTCCTATTCTTTGCAGTAGAATTCAAAGGCCTTGCTTGGAAAGTATTTAACAATGACTTGTGGACTTCCTCTGAGGTTCCCTCTAGAATCCTAAGCTGGTAATTCCCATCAACACCCTTTCAGGCAATCATTCTTGGTTCATAAGTTCAAGGCAGAGAACTTGCTGTTCCTTATGATTCCCCAGACAGCCTCCAAATGTTGCAGCCATAAATACATTTTAGCCACAAATTAGAAGGCAGCGGATGGGGCCTGGGGAAGGGATGTCAACCATATGGTAAGATGATGAATCATCCCGTGTTAATGAAAGTACATCTCAGCTCAGCCTCTGGGTTCTGTTCCTGATGCTCACTTAGGGACCAGGTGAGCACCAGCATATAGATGCTGAATGGCGGATGAGAATCCTAGGTGCTTGGAGGGTGGGGTAGAGGGCAATCAAAGGTCTCTTCCACCAAGGGGGATCCATCTCTGCAGTCTACATTCCCGGAATGGTCCCATCCTGTGAGTTTCTCTATGGCTATGGGGCTAAGCAGGAATCTCTCTTGATTGGCAGGTCCCCCGGTGAACGTGAGCTGCAACATTTTCATCAACAGTTTTGGTTCCATTGCTGAGACAACCATGGTGAGTGAATCAAAACACAAGCTGCTATTTCCTGCTGGGGATATCTCTCTCTCTCTAAAATATTTATTCTCTATGCTGGTCTTCTCCAAGGAGGTGGGAAAACAGGTGTTTGTTTGCAGTTTTTTCAGGTCTCCTGTGGTATTAACATTAGGCTCTGATCTTTTTACTGCCCTATTCAATGTTTTATGTAAATACATGACATCTGAAAATGGCCAAAAGCTAGCAGGGCTAGCACACATCAAACTCTCAGGATTACAAAAGCAAAATTATAAAGCAGGCTAAATTTTTAGATTAAAAGAAAACATGAAGACCTGCTCATAAGTTAAAAATTCAGCTTCAGAATGGCAGAAGACTACTGGTTATAGAAGCTGAAACAGGTACATTTGGTTACTTGTACTAATAGTTCTTCTTTTAAATGTATTAAAACTTTCCAGTAGTAAAATGTTTAAAATAAATCAATTACACCAGAAAAAAAAAAAGACTAGAAGAAAAAATATCAAAATGCTAATAGCAACTGTGGATTATAGATGTACAGATTATTTTTATTTTCTTCTTTCAGTATTTCTGTATTTTTCAAATTCTTCAAGGAGTGAATATTATTTAGTAATTATAAATAAATGTAAAAACACTTTAAAAATCTCTATCCTTGAAAACAGAAAATAGTCAATTGTATTCACAAAGGGAATGATCTAGCTAATATGTAGCAGAGGAAGAATATGAACTCAAATCTATCTCACCCCAAAACACGTACTCTTTTGAGCAAAATGCATATTTTTTTTTTCAGAGAGATTTTTGCTGTATGGTGCATGAGAAAGTGAGAGGTCACCCTCCCCCCAGAGGGGATGCTCATGCCACAGTCTCTTCTCCTCCATTCTCCTCTTGGGATTTTGGGCATGCACACACACACACACACATCCGGCATGAGTTTTAAGCCACTGGGTCCAGGATTCAAACTGCGGTTGACTACATGGAAGTCCAGCAACATAACCATTATACCATCTGCTGGTCCCCAAAATACAAAATTTTTAAAAATTTGCCAGAGTGTATGTGTACTTCCAGGAAAGAGACAGAGACAGACAGGCAAAGTGAGAAAGCACACCCCAAAAGGGATGGTCATGCTGCAATTTCTTCTCCATTTCTCTTCCCTTTCAGGATTTTCAGCATACGCATACACACACACACCCACACACACACACACACACACACACACACACACACACACACACACATGCACACACACACACACACACACACACACACACGTGCCCTGCATGTTTTTCAAGCCACCAGGTCTGGGATTCAAACTGTGCAGTTGGTCATGTGAGATCCAGTCACCTTAACCACGATGCCATCGGCGGGCCCTCAAAATATACATTTTAATTCCTAGAAGTTTAGTATTATCCAGCCTTTGTTTATTTCCTTTCATCATAAGGAATTAGAGCAAGAAGGGGACTTCATTGAACAGACAAAAAAAGAGAGAGAGCTGCAATTGCCCATGGACACACAGCTAATTAATGGCACAGTGAGCCCAGGCTCCCTTACTTCCAGCCCAGGGCTCTGCCTCTCTGACCATGTGAAGAGCTTACCAGTGCACTGTGGGTTCATGGTAATATGGACATAGTCCCAGTGCCAGAAGCCTTTCAGGCTGTGTCTGTTCTCCAGCAACAGCAGGCAGGCATAAAGCTCTATAAACAGCTGGAGTCCCATGCCTAACTGTCTGCCTCCCAGGGCCTGGCTTTATTCACCAGAGCTAACAGACTTAAGAGCAGAGAGAAGCAGCCAGCAAAGCAACAGGGGTCTTTATCCATTTCCCAACAAGGGGAACACCCGTCCTTCATCTGACCTTTCAGAGCTCTTTTTCAGAGCAACAAGATGAAG